CAGCACATTTCACCTAAAAAAATGTAAGAAATATTTTCATGAAAAGTAAACGGAAGGCACAATGACACTGACTCACATCTCAATTTTAGCTTCTGAATTTCTTCGTTCCCTGTAATGAGAGAACCCTAACTTAAAATTCTTGGAGGTTAATAAGAAAGAGCAGGAAAATGAATACGACATGAGTTCACATATAGAATCTGAAATCAACTTCCAAACATACAAGGGTGGCAAATAATTTAGATGAGGTCGGATAAGATTACATACCAACAGCCATCAAAATCCATTCTGTACTCACAACGCGTCCAGGGAAAGAAAGAAATAGAGAAAATTAGTCACAACAAAAGAATGGGCCGATGATATGACTATCAAAAATGGAAAAGCAAGATGAACAAAGGGACTCTCTACTAAAGGTCATGTTCGCAAAACTACTCTCACTCACCTGTACATAAAGCAGCAAAGACCAGAAAAAGGCACTCCAAGGCAAATAACAACATTTCCTACATAGCATCAGAGAAGATGAAAAATAAACTAAATTAACAACGAGCAAATACAAACACACACACACAATTAACAACCAAACTTACTGCGTACGATGGAGGTGATAGGGGTAGATATCCTACACCAAAGAAGCACAAATCAAATTAACAAGACAGTTGAAGTATGTATCACAATAGGACATCAACAAAGACAAAAAAAAAGTTATTAAACATGTGCAGAATATATTATTACTTGGCAAGGTGAACAATCATTATGTAAATTACCATACCATATCGTCAAGAAGTTCATTCTTTGCAAAAGATTTTACCTGGAAAAGACATGTCTGGGAAGATTCTCCATGTTCCTGGATTCCTGTAAACAGAGTTAAAACCGTAATTAAAGATGAAGCTAAAAACACAGTGCCAAAGGTCTGTAGAGGTGGGGTGTACAATTTCACAAAGCTTTACAAGCCCATCTGAAACTATAATGATTCATTAAACCACATAATGCCAAAAAACAGAGAGGAGAGCAAACCGAGAAGAAAGAAGTGGAGGTGGGACAACGATAATAATCAATACTAAAAGGAATACAATAAGAAACATCAGATATATCGCAAGCAAAAAACCTTTTTCAGAAATATTTATTCAAAATCAAAAGACCTTAATAACATATAAAAAATGGATATTTTGACCGCGATTTGCCTCGGTCGTAGCGTACGACGTCCTCGGCGGCCGCAAAAGGCGACGGATTTGCCGGAGATTGGGCGGCAGATGGTGAGATCGAGTGATGTGACGGCGTTTACCGCCGGCTTTCTACATTCCCTGACCTTCGCCTTTCGCAATAGATGAACGGCGGACCACAGAGGGGTCCAAACCCGGGCATAGGCGCGCGATGGCTTAAAAGAGTATTACACAGCGGCGGTGTTCTTAAAACTAATAGAGGATGTGTCACAATCAATTGTGTGTGTTATGTCTGTACAGTATTACCTATAGCATCTCTCAAAGAAAAATACTCGACGGAAATTTCCAGCCGCCGCGATGGCAGCTACGAAGAGAGAGAGAGTTGAGTTTTACCTCGTTCGTTCGGGAACGATTATGTAGAACGATGGATATGGCGAAAGAATTGATAGGTTTTCATGGTTTTGTGTCCAAAATCCAAAACGGATCGTGACGGGTGGGTCTACTAACCAATGTTTTAAATAGCGTACCGGTGATAATACCGGACGAGCCATCGGTACGCGGTTCGACCGGTTCAACCGGTTTTCCTGTCTATTTTTACCAGCTTTAATAAATATTAAATTAATCTGTTATTATAATATAAATAATATATAAAACTAACTATATAAATACTAAAATTATCTAAAGTCAAAGAACAATGTAAATATACTAAATTTAAGTGTAGAACTTTTTATTTATATAAATAATTTAATAAAAATATATTTTACAAATATTTTTTTAAATAAATCTAGTATGCCCGGTATTTTAGCCAGTATTTTGGCCGGTATTGTCCGGTAAAACCGATATTTTCCGGTATGAAGCCGGTATAAACCGGTATTTTGGCCAAAACGGTATTTTGGAGGTAACCATACCGGTTGGACCACCGGTATCCGGTAATATCGGCCGGTACATACCGGTATTTAAAACACTGCTACTAAACCCACTTCATATCTATCTATTATCGCCCCTATATATAATTCTCGAATGCGCCGCCCGTAGAGGGCTTGAAATGAGAAGATGCAGCTTTCTTGGGCCACGACTTTCTTATGTTATGGGGTCTCGAAGACTGAATT